CTGAGCTCGATCCTAGATCCTCACAATGACAGTGGACCTGAGTCGCTGTGTGTAGTTGGATACGCTGATGCCGAAGACGCGGACGATACATAGACACGTAGTAGCACTAACGACAATGTTCTCGCCTTCAGCGGTGCTGCTCTCTCTTGGATGAGGCACTGCATGAAGTGTGTGAGTCTGTCCTCAGCAGAGTCGGATTACATCGCGACCACTGAATTCGGCAAGGAGGCTCGTCGCTTTCGCTTCCTCTTCGCCAAGTTCCAGCTGCTCGACGCTGGGACGCGCACTGTCATAAACGTGGACAACCAGCCGGCCATCGTGGTCACTGAGGGCTTGGGGCTGAAAGGAACCTCAAGCAAATGGAGAGAAACTACGTTTGGCTATAGTAAATGGTGCAGCACAAGAAGCTTGCACTACAGCACATCCCAGACACCGAGCTGCCGGCGGACTTCCTCATGAAGGCGGTGCACTTTCCGTCCTTCAATCGGTGCTCCGTCAAGATCAGCCAAGTGCGTCTAGTCGACGTCGGCGACAGCGATGACGACGTGCAACAGCAGGCGCCATGCCCTTAAACATGGCTGGTGCGGTGACCGGCGTGTTGTGCTGGGTGTGCACGCAGATGAAGTATCCTCTTGTACACTATCCCTTTGGGTTTTGGGTGGACCTAGTATGTGGGTGTCCAAATGTGAGCTGGGAAGGAGAGTGTCAAAGAGAATGCCCTGCCCTCACTTAGGTGCAGCCGATCTCCCCGTCGATGAGAAGAACTCGACGAAGTGGTCGTCGAGTGGGCCTTCACTAGTCGACGGAGGTGGTGGTCGAGCAAGCCCTTCTCGACGAGATGCGGTCGACGATGCGGACGGAAGTCGCCGGTCGACGACAGTGTTCAACGACAGTGGTCAACGAGCTCGTCAAGAGGTGCTGGTCGACGAGTCTGTCGAGGAGCACTACTCGACGAGCTCCGTTCGCCGAGCTCGTATCGACGAACGCAGTTGGACAGGGAGGTTGTGGTGAAGTCAACCGACGTGTAGCATCACATGGTTGAAGTGGTGCATCTGGTGCAACTGTCGGCATATGGCCGACATGACACCTGCGCAATGCGCGGAACGAGGCATAACATGCTTGATCGCCCAATAGCACATGCGAAGTGTGTGCGCATGTGCGCTATAGTCATACGCGGTTGCAACGATGGTAAGCTGCCATGCTGCATCGTTGGCAAGCCGCCTGGTGCAGCACTGGCAGGTCGTTGACCTGAAGTGTTGGCAAGTAGCCTCTCAGCTGCGAGGGCATGCCGTCGAGTTGCTACGCTGGCAAGCAGCCTCCATGCTGTGCTGGAGGTCGAAGTGCCTGGTTGCTCGGCTGCAAGGTCCCAGTTGTCGTCAATTTGCCATTGCCATTGCATTATTCTCTACCCCAACTTTTGACAGTGAACACTTGCCGATTTTCATCGTGAATGCGCAAGCAAAGCACAAGCACAACTACGATCAATCGTTCCACCCGTGCCTTCCCACGTGGTTCAGCTACCCCGGTGTAGAGTGACTCTCTACAAGAAGAGTTGCCGCCCTCTTTCTCTCCTCATAAGATTTGAACCCTTTCTTGATGATCTGCACCAGTATCCCCGTCAGCCCGTCGCTCTATAAGTACCGCGACGTTTGGCGGTGCCGAATACGACTTTCAGCAAGGCTTCAAACTCCCCCTTGAATGCTGATCTTTGGTCGGTCAGCAATTCCCCGCTTGCTCCAAACCGAGTGATTAACATCTTTTCAAACACTTCAGCCACCACTTCAGCCTTCTTGTGCACCAACGCTTTTGCCTCGGCCACTTTGCTTACATGTTCGAACATCAACAGGATCAAATTCAGATCCGGAATGTTGTTTTAGAAGATCATAAAATGATAGGAATACTTTACAAATTAACTGTTGTTTGGCAAGGAACCCGTTTTGCCGGTGCACGCGCCTCGCCTATTGCTAGAAATGGTGACCGTGGGATCTTCTGAGAAATGGGTGGCAGCAGCGAGCACAAGGGCAGCATACCTGCGGCATCTGCTACCAGTGGCGATGGAAAACATACAGGTGGCACAACTTAGAGACATGCGGACGTACAAGCAGTGGCATCAAGTAAGGGCCATCGGCGCCCAGCAAGAAATAAAGCCCAGTACCTCCTCTGATCGGAGGAAGGACACGCTGGATGTCATACTTTTGCAACAGCGTTGGCGGGTGAAGGAGATCGGGCCGTCGGGAGTCATAAGCCTTGTTGCGATATAAAATCATATGAGAAGGCATTCATGTATGCTGCAGAAGCCGACTCTACCGAGTGCGAAGTCGAGGAGTCAGAAGAGTCGAAACGACGCAGCAACCGTCTGACCAAGACCGATGCAGGCAGAAACATTCGAAAAGAGCGGGAACAAATTTGAAACGGGTTCCTGCGTCGCACGGTTTGAATTCGCTGCAATAAGGGAATGTACCCCTTAGAGTACATGGCTAGTCTAGGTCTTTTCGTCTTCCCTTGTACTCTTATATAAACTCGATGTATGCATGCAATTATTAACTCAGTCATTTACATTCACTCTGACCTGAGCACACCACTTACGCTGCAAACACCACCCTGCGATCAACCCTGAGCGATCCTTCGCTAAGTCCCACTTGGGATTGTAACAAGCCTGAAGGATGCGCTCGGGATAATGGTGGCGGACCATGTGACGAATGTGGCCAAGAATCTCAGCGAGAACGGGCAAGCGAGCTTCGACGGTCCCACGACGCGCTCGAGGACAGAGGCATTGCGTCATGGGAGAGGGCGGGAAGAGACTCCGAACCAGTCCGCTTCGAGGAAAGGAAAGGACCTCTGTGGCTCTCAGCCTCGGCTAGCCGAGCCTCTGTGGCTCTCAGCGTCTCCTGAACCCTAAGCCTCTGTGAATCTCAGGCTCGGCTAGTCGAGCCTCTGTGGCTATTGTCCTTAGCTGCCCTCCACACCACACAGACTACGTGGCAAACTCCTTCCATTGAGGTGGCTTTTGAGTCGACTCAAAATATGACTTCTGAGTCGACTCAAAAGTCACCTCCACACCACACAGACTACGTGGCAAACTCCTTTCTCAGCGAGGCAAGGCTGACAGCACCCTTGTTGACGCGTGTTGCTGCTCCGGGCTTGGTGAGGCTGGACTTGTGACGGAGCAATGCAGCATGCACCGCACCTTGTTCGAAGCTGGTACCTGTCAGAATCGGAAGCAGGAATGAGAACAGCAGAAGGGAGGGTTTCGCTAGCACGCAGTTGGGATACAAATAGCAAACCCTAACTGGGTTGTACTCACTATAGAGTACCCCACCGCAGACTAGACAAATATCACATTCTGACACACCTCCATAGGCAAGGTGAGTTATAATCAGCACAGCAAGCAGTCAAAAAATAAGTTCACAAGCACAAGCAAAGCTAGTGGGAGACATAGAGGACTCGTGAGGAGGAGGAGGGACTGTGAGAGGAGAGGTGATTGGAGGCGGCGGCTGAAGCTGCTGGCACACGGGCTACTGGAGCAACTGGCACACGAGCTACCGGAGCAAGGGCCCCGAACTGCTGGAGTAACTGGCTCCGCGGCTAAGACGAGCGGCTGGAGCAACGAACCCACGGGCGACTGGCGCAACGGGCTCGCTGACTACCGGACACAAGCAAGGGTATTCGGACTACTGGCGCTGCTGGCTCCACAGCGGCTACCTCCGTTCAACCTCCCCACTGTCGCAGACCCCCTTTCACACACCCTCCTATGCACCCCTAGCTCCACTCCCACGGCACCCCCCTAGCGCCACTCCCTCGGCTCCCACACATCCACTCCCCTCAGCGGCAGCTGTAGCAGTGGGAGACGGAGGAGGAGGAGGAGTAGGGGACGGCTCACACACCCGCCACCCCCATACCCGCCACCCCCATAGTTGCACGCGCAGATGGGAGAGGAAGGAGAAAGGGGAGGGGCGGGGGGAAGCAGCCCCGCGGCGCACTGGGTCAGGGGGCGGCGCGCGGGTCCCCGGGGGCGCCGCGACAGGCGACGGGGGACGGCGCGCGGGTCCCCGGGGGCGCCGCGACGGACGACAGGGGCGGCGCGCAGGTCCCCGGGCGTGCCGCGACGAACGACGGAGGGCCGCGCCCGGGTCCCCGGGGGCGCCGCGACGGACGACGGGGGGAGCGCGCGAGTCTCCGAGGGCGCCGCGACGGACGACGGGGGGGGGGAGCGCGCGGGTCCCCGGGGGCGCCGCGACGGAGCATGAAACCGCCGCGCGCGCCCGGGGCGCGGCGCGTGGCGGGAAGAAAAAAACGTCGCCACGAGGCGCGCGACAGACAGTACAGCAGCGGAAGTAGGTGGGCCTACAGGCCAGGAGCGTAGATGCTCTGATACCATGTCAGAATCGAAAGCAGGAATGAGAACAGCAAAAAGGAGGGTTTCACTAGCAGGTAGTTGGGATACAAATAGCAAACCCTAACTGGGCTGTACTCACTGTAGAGTACCCCACTGCAGACTAGACAAATATCACATTCTGACAGTACCCTGAGCCTTCTTGCAAGCAACTACAACACCCAGTACTCCCTGGAACCGTCGATTGAGGTGAGAACAAGATGTTAGAATGTAGTGAGAGAGAAGTGTGGATTAGGTAGAGGGGGTGGGGGTACAAAACTATTGAGCAATGTGTTGTAACCTGTAAGGGTAACCCCTACATAGCCTAGACAGCTATGAACATAATTATGTTTTGACACTAGAGCCACCATGCGCAGCGCGAAAACCTTTTCCAGCTGGATTTGATGAAGTTTAGTGAAATGAGACCAAACACCCATCTTAGAGTCTAAGACCTCCCTCAGGAGGGGTTATTACACCCCCTAGCAAGCACTACAGGGGATCAGGATACCGTACATCGTTGGAATCTTCTAACCTCCAGAAGGACCTGTGAAATTTGATGTGCAAGCCATACACGTGAAGGCATGTAGGCCCGTTAAGATACCCTTAAACTGCAGTTACCCTAGAAGAGTTAACCAATATTGGGGAGAACACGAACGATATTCTCCGTATCAACGAAAATGCGAACGCGGTTTGTGCGATAATCCTTCGTGACGGGACGTCCATACGGGATAATTTTCACATCCCAGTTACACTCTGGCATCGATGTCAGGATGTAATTGCGAGCCTTTTCGCCCGTCATGCCAACCACCTCTGGCCAAGAGGTCTTACTGCCATGGGTGGAAAACGGGAGGATAAAGCGGAAGTATGGTTTTTGCAGGGAACATTACCGAGAAGGGAAGACACCTTAGGCAAAAAAGTGGGAGTGCGTTGGGAAGGGAGGAGAAAGAGTTTGATGGATTTGTGGACGAAGTTGTGGTGAGCAGCAAGAGAGAGGATTACATCAGGGGAGATGGGAGACGGAAGAGAGGGGATACGGAGAGGTGGGGAGAGGGTGAGTCAGGGAGGGGAGAGGAAGGAGGTGAGAAGAGGGAGAAGGGAAGAGTAGGGGAAAAAGGGGAAGGGGATAGGGAAGAGGACGGAAGAGAGGGGCAGAGGGGGGGGGGAGAGGAGGAGAGAGGGTGACAGAGGGGGAGAGGTGGGGAAAGGAAGGAGGTAGGAAGTGGGAAGAGGAAGGTAGATTAGGGGGGAGGAGTGGACGAAAGGAGGAGAGTGTGGGGAAAGTAAGAAAGAGGCTTGGGAATAGATAAGCCACAATGCGATATCATCACAAATCTGAAACACATACTGCATGTAAAGAAAAAAACAATTATATTTCATACTAGAATTTCTAACGGCTCAGGCAACCCACCTGCTACAGGTCTCCTCAGCAATTTGCTTCGGTCGACGCGGCTTATTGGCGCTGCCGCCGCCATTCTTGTTCGGCTGCGCGCCACTGTTCTTCTGGTTATTCGGCGCATTTCCATTCGCAGAGCCGTTCCCCCTCTTCGGTCCCCCTGCAGCAGTGCCGTTCCCCCTCTTCGCCCCCCCTGCAGCAGTGCCGTTCCCCCTCTTCGGTCCCCCTGCAGCAGTGCCGTTCCCCCTCTTCGCCCCCCCTGCAGCAGTGCCGTTCCCCCCATGGTGCCCCTTGCTCGGATGCCCGCCCCTTGTTCGGTTCCCCGCCGCTACCGTCCCGTTCCCCCTATGGCGCGGATGGCGGGGCGGCGCGGTGGTGTTTACCCCCCTGGCCTGTTGAATCTCCACCCTAGGCGGAGGAGTGCGCGAGGATGCGAGGAGAGGAATCAGAGCAACGGAGACGAGGAGGAGGACCAGGAGGAGAGAGGGGCGCGAAATCTTCATGGTGATTCTACGGGGCGAGCGGTTTGAAAACGGTACGGTGAATGTAATGAGCGCCCTTGCTGCTGGAGATCTCGAGCGCGAAGACCTGAGGGGAATGGAGGGGATGTAGCATGTGTGTGAGGGGCGTAAGTGAACCAGCCGAGCCGCTGTGACTCTCATCCACGGCTAGCCGAGCCTCTGTGGCTCTCAGCCTCGGCTAGCCGAGCCTCTGTTGCTCTCAGCCTCGGCTAGCCGAGCCTCTGTGGCTCTCATCTTCGGCTAGCCGAGATTATGGGGCTTTGATCCTTGGGTTGATCCTTAGCAGCAGATGCCGCAGACGAAGTGCCGACGACGGGAGGAGGATGGTAGGAGGATGTGAAAAGGAAGGGAGGAGGATGAGACGACTCGGAGGTTGTGACATCGATCGGATAGGCATGGGATGACGATGCGACGAGGATGGTACGAAGTAGGAAGCGAGGTGTAGGGGTGGGAGAGAGAGGTGGAGCGGCAAAGAGGGGAGGTAGCTGTCAAATCCTGACGTCACATGGATCGATGTACCTACGATGAGGTATGGAACAGCTTTGCTGACGTTTGCGTGGACCCAACGTCGTACTAGTTCTCAGCAACTGTGACAGAATATCGTAACGCTCGGATGCGACTCGCCGACGCAAAGGGGACGGTCCAACGCGACGCAATGCTGTTGCTTCTGCTGCGAAATTGTCCTGGCGCGGGGAAAGGGGAAATGGTGAAAGGGGAAGGGTGGGGGAGTGTTGGCGGGGGGGGGGGGGAGAGTAGAATCAACTTCTGCTTCTGCTCAGTCATGTTTTGGGGGAGACTGGAGATTGGAGGGATGTCGGGAGCATTGACGGGAGCATGCCGAGGTCGTCTCAGAGTTACGAGATCGTCTTGCGCCAGAATATTTCGACGCGGGCCAAGCTTTCGAAAAGCAGACCGGGATTGATAGGAACAATTTCAATAATCTGCCTAGACGACAGACAATAGCTGCAGAGACTGCGAGAAGAAGAGGGGGGAAGGAACGAGGTCTGGAGCCGTACACGGTGCGAAGCGTCGGTGATGAAGAGCGGAGAAGAACGAGATCCTGCTGGCAATGCGGGAAGAATCGATCCAGAGCCGCCTAAAACGCTGATTCGAAGCCTAAATTGTTTCGGACGCTGATGCTCAAATGGTTGATGACTTAAGATGCCAGCGCAAAAGCTTTAGAAATACGATTATCGAAACGAAAGGGGTCGTATGGCGCACGGAAACGCAAGAGCACCGACCATAAACACGGGCGACATGTAAGAATCTCGGACTGTTTAACTCCCAAGAAGCTGCTATGAAACTGGGTAAAATGCTGTGTACGAATCGCATGGAGAATTAGTGGTCTAAAACGTCATCGCACGCCTTCTGGAGCTTGCGGGTGATTTTGCCCCAGTTCGACCTCTTTCCCCATTCACCCATCTCGTCGGGTTGATTGGGACGTGACGTGAGGTTCCCGCCTAATTTGGCGCACCTCCCAAAGGCGCGCCGCGCATGAGCGGTTCCAGGGTGAGCCCGATCTGCAAAAGAAAATTTCCTGTGAGAACAGCCCAACCGTCCGATCGAAATCCTACCCTCGGGACGGTGACATTTGCGCGGCGCCCCAGTTTTGGAGAACAGCCGTCACTAGAACCCGCTTAGGGCGTGGAACATCCTTTTGAACAAGGCGATGGTCGCCCAACAGCGACAGTAATCATTGTTGCGACCATCGCCATTGACCTACGAAGCAGACTGACGAAGACTGCCTGAAGAACGCACGTTCCACAGCTTATGCTTGTTGGTCGCCCCACCCGTTGAACCTCGCAGATAAGACAAGAAGTGGCGACGTCAGGAAAAACATGCGAAATGAAACCAGGTGTTGTCGTGAGTGACGTGCTGCGACCCAATTTGCAGCACGGTGTTTGACGAAGCAGGCGCTTTCGTGTATCATCGCGACTCCGTATTTCTGGGCGACCAAGTGTTTCCAACTTGGGATATGGGGTTTTGCGTGTTACCTGACGATCACCATTGACGAGACAAATGTTCGACCAGAGAGCCGACGGGACACTTGTTCACAAGGATGTTCCACGCTCTTACGTCATTTTCAACAGACACATGTTCTGTACTGTAACCACGATATTGTCGGTCAGCAAACACGTCGCCCGAGTCTCGACTCTCGAGTTGAGAAAAAAAGCACCTTGCCTCATTGAAGGTGCGAACCTGGCGATTTGGACGTGAGCCGAACGAAACTTTTCCCGCCAACAAACATACCTCGTCGGGGCAGCAGAAAAACGAAAACAACAGAGGGACACGCAAAACAAATCTGAGGTCGTGTCCGTAGGGATGACATGTCAAAGTGGGAAGTGTCAACTTGGCATTTGCAGGTTGCCAGCCAATACAAATCGTCGGACACCTCTGAAATTGGCACAGACAAACCTACAAACGAGAGAAGATTGTCGCAGGTGCCGATCTCACGACCAGATGCTGCCCAATCAGCACACAATACGTCTTTTGAATTGTTCGTTGCCTAGCAGATCTAGCCATGACAAATTCTCAAACCAATGAAATTGCGTCGCTGATGTTCGTACCTGCGCTTCGACTTGACACTCTAATTTGAATGCGCTTCGGGTTGACTGGCTCTCACCTGACATGTCAACCCTACGGACACGAACTGACTGGGTCCAATTCCTGCCTAGAGAAAGAATTGCTTCATCGTAACAAGAAATTGAAAGTCCACGGGGTCAGCCGCAAGCGATCTGACACCTATCAAGAAAATACCCCCCAATGGTTGCCGCAATAAAACACTGAGAGAAAACTAATACAAAAGTTGCTCCATAAGAAGCACTTGCAACGGTATTAGTGAATTGAAATAAAGCTAGAGAACACATTCAAAGCATGGCTCTGGAAAATCGTGGGGATAGGCGAATTATAACCGCTCATGCAGAAAACAAAGATAATATCTATCATTAACGTCCGAATACCAGTAAATATTGATCATGCAATAGACTTGCAGAATTATGTGATAATCAGTGATCAAATAGTAACGCAATGCATCATTCGCAAGCGTTTTGTGACTTCCCATATTATTACCCTTTGTCCACATCATTTGACGTCTGTGGAGCAGGCCCCTAGATTCGTTTTGAGGTAGTCTGACGCCTCAGAGTACACCTCGTTTCCTAGTCTGGCTGTCAGAGTTACCTATTTTTTTTTGTCTGAAAATTCAGACAAGCACAATTTTTTTTTGTCTGAACTGTCAGAGTAACTTCAAATTTTAAGATGTTCATGCAGTTTCATAACAGCATAGCTATAATAGCATTGAAGTTGATTACAGCATACCAACGCAATCGTGCGGCCAGAAATAAGGCACTCTGATTGGTCATTTTTCAAGAGTTAGGAACACTGAGCAGTCAGGGTCGATGTGTGGGCATCAGACAATGGCCTCGTGCAAGTGCCAAGTGTGGCAAGCTCACAATCAGCTGACCTGGCAGCAGGCACGGTATCGCTCGGAACTTTTCTGTGCTGGGCCCGCTGGCAGCAGCAAGAGTTTTCAACTGATTACACCCTATGTGCGCGGAATATTTTCTCATAAAGTTGTAACTTTGAAATGTTGACTCGGTTTGGCAAGGGGAAATGATGTGCGGTTCTGCTGAAGTATCGTACGAGACTCATATGTGACAAGGCTTTCGTTAGCACCAATTCGCTTTTCGCCATGTGCGATTCGCTAAAATCGTTTTG